AAAAATATATTAAAAATTATTTTTAATATTAGGTATTAAAATAATTTAAAAATACAAAAATATATTATTTTAAAATACAAAAATAAACAGTACCATGATTCCATCAACAGAATTCCGGCTGGATCGAGTGTCCTTGCACATAAAAGAAAATGAATGAAGTCAAAGCCCTCGATTGTAAGTGGGGAGCTTGAACAGTAGAAACTAGGGTTCGGCTCCCACAAATCTCGGCCTAGTTTTCTCGATCCAAATTTTGTCTGTCGGCGTCCTCTAATTAATTTGATTGGTCTAAAAAATCAAATCCCTGGTACCATGAAAATCGTCATTTTTTGACTAAAAAACATGTCGCCCATTTAAAACTCGTACAAAGCGAGGGGAGACATCGTGGGCTGGTGGCATTAGTTGCTGTCTAATCAGGCGTGGAGCTGTTTTGGCAACCCTGTGAAACGAATGGATCGTGGAGACTAAGCTCGCCGGGCCTCCCTTGAGGTTGAGAAATACATATACACATAAAGAAATGACAATGACCCTGGTGGCCGATTTTCAGAAAGGAGAAGACAAAAAAATCCTAACTTTGAATGGGTTTTGATGCCAATACCATTTTGGTGGGTGGAAAAAGAGAGCAGGAATTGAATTAGCTTGAGCTAAAAATGGGATAGAAATTCTATCATAGAATTTGAAATCAGCATTTCTAACGGCTTTTAATCACTCTCCATCAACAGGGTAACATTATTAATATACTACAAAGAAATGATACTTTCATGTAGAAGTAATCCGAATGCAAATTTTATTATTTTTAATTAAATACATTCATCTAGCTTTTGATTTATAATTAAATTTTTAAAAAAATATTTAAAAAACTTAAATATTTATCTTTTTTTACCAAAATAAATTATTCAACCAAATCAAAACACAAATTAAATAACTAATAATTACTTGTTAAGCAACAGTGGATGAAATATGTTTGATGAAATATATTATCGTCAAAGATCAATAAATTTGATTTAGTTATTTAAATTTCCTATAAAAATAGTTGCAAAACTAGGATTTTTTAAATGAGATGGACTAACAAATACTTAATATTATATATACATATGTTATATAAAAAATCAATTTAAAATATATGTATTAACTCATGTTAAGCAAAATTAATTTAAGAATACTTAAATATATATATATATATTATAATTGTTCTTTTCAAGTTTTTATATTTTAAAACTACTTCATAATAACTATATTTTTAATATTTTCTTAATATATATAATCAAACTTTTATTAATCTATTTCTAAATTTTTCAATGACTAGTAAAGTTTTTTACAATAATTCTTTACTAATATGGTATATAACAGCTAAAACTATAACATGAAAGGATTGTAATCATAAATTGATTTTATTCTTGTAAACTTTGTTGTTTTGTATAAGTTAGTTAAATATAAAAATTATTTTTTTTAATTTTTCTATTATATTTCTAATTTTTTTAGTTATCTTGTACTTCATTTTTAATTACTAATAAGTTTATCATTATTATTTTGCATATAAAATTCATAACAAAATTCATATTAATTTATCAAAACTCATATTAATTTATCAAAACTCATTTCAATTCATATTTATATAATATTACTTATACATAAATTAATTCAACAAACTCATAAATTATCATAAACCTTAACACTTTCAATAACTAATTATAAATAAATAAAACTATAGATAATAAAATAAATAAAAAATATGAAGAAAGCTTACCTAACTCATAAAGCATAAAAGGTTAAGAAGTTCCTTACTTAACTAATTAATAGCTTAGGACTGAAGAGAAATTTTATAAAAGAAAAGGAGACAAAGACAAGAGTTTAAAAAGAAAAAAGAAGAGCCTGGATCAATTAGTAGCCAACAATAAAAATTAAACTTGCTAAGTTATTATATTAATATTTTAGTATAAAAAATATTCAAAAAAATAAAGGGGCAATTGCCTCCTCTTATCCTATATGGCTTTGCACTTTATAAAAGGAAGTTCTTAATGTAAAAACTTCGGGTGGTGTTTTTTAGATAGGAAACTTCGGGTGGTGTTTTTTAGATAGGGTTTGTTTACTATATGAAACTTAAAAGATGGAAACAATATATTCAAAAGAGAAGAGATAGAATTAAAAAAAAAAAGAAGATAAAATTATATTTTATAATGGTGTATAAGATAAAATAATTATGATGGACAAAACAAAATAAAATATTAAAAAAATATTTTACCCTTAATATGTATTATTGTTAAATTTATATATTTTAAAACATAATTAGATATTTTTTACTTTAATTTATATTGGATATTAAAATTAATAATATTATAATAATCCTGATTATAAAACCAAGACTGACTTAACCTAGGGCCTAGATTTGGTCTCCACGAATGACTTAACCTAGGGCCTAGATTTGGTCTGAGTTTAAGAAAAAGAGAAATGATTGACTCCATCTAACTCGATTAAAAACTTAAGTCAACTCAGGATAGAAAAAATGGATCAGAAACTAATTTTTTTAAAAAAAATTAGTCAAAATAAGATTATTTTAATTATTTTTAACTTTTTTCGAGGTCAATTAGATTGACCCTCCAGACCAGTGACATGAACCTTGTATCGGGTCGATTCTCAAGTTAGATTTTTAAACTATAATAATAACTATTTTTATTCATACATTGATTTGGGTCACCTCGTGTTAACCCTCTTGACCTATGACCTAGGGCTTGCCCTAATCAACCTAAGTCTTGCTCTAATCGACCCTTAAATCAAGTTTTAAAACTATGATAATAATAATTTTTATTATTATATTGACTTGGGTCAATCTATGTTAACCTTTCTAATCGATGACCTAAGTTTTGTCTTGAGTTAATCCCTAAATCAAATTTTAAAACTTTAATAATGACCATTTTTATTTTATATTGATCTTTTTAACACATGACATTGGTCTTACCTCGAGTCGACACATGAGTTGAGTTTAAAATTATAATAATATTCTTATGTTAACTCAATGTTGACTCAAGTCAACAGTCAACATCACTCATAATCTAAGTTTTGTTTCATGTTAACTCTCAAATCAAGTTTAAAACTATAAAAATAATTTTTTTTCCTTACACTAACTTGGATTAATCCTATTTATGATCCAAGACTTAACTAGTAACTTAAATTTTATCTTAGATTAACTCTAAGTTGGATTTTAAAACTATAATAATAAATATTTTTAATCTTATATATCTTAGTTAAAAATTTTGAAATTGAAAGTTTTTTAAAATAATGTTTTAAAAGTTAGAAATAATAAATATTATCTTTGAAAAGACATGTTTTTTATATATCTTGCTTTGAAAATACACAAAATATATTTATTTTTATATCTTTATCTTTATTTTTTTAACCAAATATATTTTTATCTTTACTATATTTATCTTTTTTTTTAATCCAAAGACAACAATCATATATTGCCTTGATACTGCAAAAACTCACTTAATATGTAGCAATTAGCCGGCCTCTCACTTCCCTCAAATCATCATTTTATACATTGATCATAATCATATGCTTTGTGTTAGATGCATACCTGCAAACAACATAGGCAACCAGCCTGACTCCTGATAATTACTGAACAGCTTCTTACCTTTTCCTATTCTTTACAATAGAGTTTTCTTTTACAGCCTTTTGCTTCAACTTAGAGGCTAGAAAAATGGATACTCACGAGCCACGAGTGTACTGTTTCTTTGTACCTCCCAAATATAATAAAGCTACATCCTCTGCCAGCATGAGTTGCTTAATATATCCATCAAGCATTACTTGATCACCTCCATGTTTTGAACATAAACTCAAAAAATACTTCATTCTCTCTATGTTTTGAGTCCCGCAACAACTTACATCAACTTAATTTACCTCAACGAGGTGGAGAAAAAGCATACAAGGATACTGCTTATATCAACTGAACCACAAGGATGTAATACAATGGGTGGAAGGTTGCCTATGGCAAGGTGCCGCTTTATATTATCAGACACCATTTCACCAGATATATATAACTAGATATACAGTAAAAACTTCAAATGGAAAAACATGTTTCTTTTTTCCATTAGGCAATAAGACAAATACAAGTAATGTACATACATTTATTTCCCAATAAATGCAAATCGTAACCGCTCTCTCTGTTGCATTAGAATTGGATCCTTCGGAGATGATGTCTTCCCTCCTACGCCTGCCTGCCGCATCATCTCTGCAATAAGCACTCAAATATCATACCGCTTAAAGAGATCAATAAATATATCAATTATGATTAGAGCCGAACTCGTGTCAAATGCAGCTCTGCAATAGGCACTCAAATATCATACCGCCGAAAGAACTCAATAAAATGTATCAATTATGAGTTTAGAGCCGAATTCGTGTCAAATGCAGTCTCATATGATCTTTTGCTGGTAAATTGTTCTAAAATTTCGTTTTGCATGCTTTTGCCACATTGTTTTTTCAAATAATTTTTGCGCAAAAGAAATCTGTTTGCAAATATGTCCACACATTTTGTCAATATAACTAAACAACTTCAACTAGAAGGATCAATACGCAAGTTGCATGAAGGCAATGAAATGTTGGGGCCCTAGAAAACTATCTACCTATCAAGGGCTAGGTCAAGTCATGCTACTAAGTTCATGAGAAATACACCACCAACCATTTTCAGCTCAATATGCAAACATATCTTATTATACAAGAGGTCATCCATTCACTTGCTCATCTTGCAGCCCGCCCAACCATCTTCACATTTTCATCACCTAAGGGTAAAAGTCCAGGACTCAAGAAAGAGTTAAACGTTTTTTCAGAAATAGCATTTCTTTTCTCAAGCATCAATACATGCGGCACTTTGAGAATGAGATGAAGTTCTAATACCAAGACTTCAGCTAAGGAAAGAAAGCCTCAAATTTACCTCAATGGTGGTTCATAGGACCAATCCCAGCAACAAAAAACTGATAGAAATTTAGTCTTAAAATCAAGATATTAAATTAAAACTTGCCTCGTTTTCTTTCAAGTTCTTGATAAAGCTCTTCTTCCCATTTTCTTTGCCTCTCAGAGAAGTTTGTACTGCAAGTCAAAGTAATGTCATTCTCAGGTAACAAACATATTTCAGATGTGATTCTTTAGTAAAATTAAGATAAACCAGGCAACAAATAGTGGCAAACACACCTAGACGTAAGTGTTTCCTGCTGGCCATCATGAAGAAACTCTTTCCACTCACTAAGCTGAGGTGGCTGAATTTCCTGCAAAGCTCGATTGTGTATACTACTTTCGTTTGCTACATGATTAGTTTGACGACCAGGACTTGCAATGCTGGGAGCATCAACAACTGCAGAGAGTCTTCTGCTAGGCAAACGTTTGGGTGACCTGCTTTTGGGGGGTAAACTCGGTAAATGAGTAGGATTTTCACTGTTTTCTGTTCCAACTGCAGTTGGGGCACCCATGGTATTCAAAGTGCTGTTGTAAAACTCTTCATATAGAGGTGTCTGCAGCTTCTTCAAATCTAAAGCCTAGTGGAGTTTTAAAGAACAAGTATTAACAATTTCATCATACCAGTGAATAGTGTTACCAAAAGAGGGAAAGGCATAAACAAAATTTTGATTACATTACATCTTTGACTAGTTAAAGATGTAAACCTCCAATCCGTGTTACAAGGATGTAATAACTCAATAAAAAACCAAATCTAATAATAAAAGACAAGAAAAAATATCAATTAAAAAAACAAAAACAAATATTTTTTTATAGGATCGGGTAAGTTTATTTATTGCTATAATAATTTCCCAACATGTTTTAGTGTATTGTTAATTGGTGCCCACGAAAAAAAAATGTACCTTCTCATCCAAAAATGCTCTAATTTTTGACTCGGTAACTTCATCATCATCCTCAGGTACCACTGGACCACATGGAAATGTGAAGTCGTTCTGTCCCCTACCGGATGCTTCATGGATATCAATAGCTTCATGGTTTGATTGACTGCAAGACAAGTTATATCCACTTCTAGCTTCATGGTTTAATTGACTGCAAGACAAGTTATATCCACTTCTCTTAAACAATGGATCCTCATGAAACTTGCATGGCCAGTCATCCAAGGGTTCGCACATTGGGTTGACACTCTGGTTTAAAGAAACAATTCTGTCATTAAAGATAATACAAGCTCCTGAAACGCATAGTTAGACAAAGAAGTGTTCGTCACCTTATTTAAATCAGCAGATGCTAAGGTAGATTTGAACCCAGTGGATGCACTAACCGCAAAATCATCTTTATCATCTATCAGACACATGTCATCATCAAAATTTGCTGCACCCCAGTAGGATCTTGATGTTGACAAATTATCACGATATACAGTTGAGGACTTCATACTACCCATTTCACAAACATCCTTCAATCCTGCACATGTTGACCTTCTGATCACAGAGTTCATGCTGCGCCATCGATACATCTTCAAGAGTCAAAAATAGCATAATAATAATAATAATGAAAATGAAAACACGCGAAGTTAAAAAAAGCTTACGAGCTCTTGAGATTCGACCCGGTCGCAGCTATCAGATTTCCAGATTCCTAAACAGGAAAAAACACATTAATTGACATGTCGATGGTCACAGAATACAGTAATCAAACCAGCACATCTTACTACACTTACTCTAACTGAGTTGCGGAATACTGAATGAGTTTCCTGATAATCCCCAGTGACAAATGGATGCTGCACATGTTTAGAAAAGGATGCAATGAGATAAAATCTAAGCCGAGTTTAGTTCGCTATAATTAAGCAATACCAAATAGTTTGAATAAATTTTGTCTAGGTGATAGGAACAGGAATACAAGAATTGATAATAATGAAGGTTACTGCGGTGATTTTCAAAACAACCAAAATTTAATCTTCTATACCCTATCATTATCTCCAATCAACAGCACATTTGTCATCCCGCTAACCTAATTCTCTCCATTCTTCAGCTCATTAACTTCTTTTTCAAGTATAAAATTTGAAAAATCTTTTCACGTCCAGGTATTTCTGCCAAGCATATGTTCATATTTGAGTAATATTACGCCTAGTTTATAATTTTTATAAACAATATACATATCAAAATCACCTGCAATAACTCAGATGCAGCAGGCCTTAAGTTTGGTACCCTGCCACCACGTATATACATAAGAGTTTAGTACAGACATATATCTAATACAATTCATAGAAATTATGTTTCAGAATTCATTGATGAAAAATACAGAGTCACTTCTGCCTAAAAATGTTGGCTTGTTCAAAAAGAACAAAGATTACTAGAGAAATGAAGGACTTGAGATAAATAAAAGTGAAACATACTCCTGAAGACATTTTAATAAGAAATCCTTTGCCTCAATAGATAGATGTTCAGGAATTGGAGGATGAGATTTAGTTGTCCCAATGTGGAAGAGAGCAGCAACCTGAAACCGAAACTTGTTTTCAGACTGCAAACTAATCTAAAAACCAATAAGCACCAACCAATACATTATAGTCAATTTTCTTACACATTAATAGAATTAAAAAAAGAAATCAGTCAATGGCATCAAATCTGTACCTCCTGATACTGTTGACTCCATGGAGGTTTCCCTGTGGCCATCTCAATCACAGTACAACCAACGCTCCATATATCAGCAGAACTATGAAATTGAATGTCAAAGACAATGGCGTCCAAAGAAGAAGAATTAGGACTAGCACACAAATCTATTTCTCTACTGAAGGAATAAGTGCACAACGATACACTACTGCATGAAAGCGTGGCATACATCATTAATTTCCTCTTATGCAAGTTCTGACATTTTTCTAACTTTATAGAACTGCAAATAAAACTTCAATACCCTCATATTATGCAAATGCTGACTAATCCACAAGTTGTATTGGTCATTATCTCCATGCGTTCCAAATATAAATTATATTGACACTTTTTTTATGATTCAAAAAATCCAACTTTTAACTTGATTATTGATATGTAAATATCTAATTCCTCGCTAAAGGAATGAATAAGATCACCCTCTGCATAAGAGAATAGCACACATATTAAATTTCCTCATTTGCAACTTCTGACATTGTTTAAGTTTTTCGAACTACAACTAAAAACTCCACGTGTCACAAATGTGAGTATTTTTTTTTGACATTATTTATGATTCCAATTATGTATTATTACATCCTTGCATTTTAAATCCACTGCATGATTTTATGATATGAGATTGTGATTTTATGATATGAGATTGTGTGGAGCTTCCATTTGAAGAAATCATATGGTGGACCATGTCATAATTTTTTTTTTAAGAAAAATCTACTGAGATGGTCAGGGAGGATTTGAAATTGTGATATCCTCTTTAGCAGAAAGGCGTGGCTACCTGTAAGATTATGCCTTAGCCATGTCATAAAAATCACAGAGAACTTGATTATACATATGTACATACTTCTACTCTAATGTAAAGATACATAATGGACAAATATGAGGAGAATAAATTGAAACATTGTTCTTACAAGCTATGCCCAGTCTGGAGAATAACCTCGGGAGCCATCCAATATGGAGTACCTTTCATTGACTTGGCACCATTTATAGTAGCCTGTAATCAACATAGCAACTTAGCAAAGATGCCGACAGAAACTCAACCAGTAAAGAAAGATTTTAAAATAGTAATATAAATAATACCAGTTCAACTACTTTCTTGGATGCTCCAAAGTCAGCAAGTTTAATGCAACCCTTGTTATCAACAAGAATGTTTGCCCCCTGAAACGAAGCATGCTCAATGTCAAATTTTGGAGAAAGAGAGGGATTTTCTAAATAAAATGTACTTTATATAACAACAACACAATACCTTGATGTCCCTATGCATAATACCATTCTTGTGAAGGTATCCCAATCCCAACAACAGCTGTTTCGTATACATTCTTATTACCTGCATATAAAATGATTTTAAATAGGACCATCATCAGCATTTCAAATACCACCGACATTCTAATATTTCAAAACTAGAAATCACTTACCGACTCAGGGAAAGATCCAAATTTTCCCAGTAACGATGATATGGATCCACCCGGTACAAATTCCAATAAAATATTCAACGAATCATCCTCTCTGGCAGTTCCCAGGTATCTCTAACAAACATGGAAATAACATAAATAAGCCAATAACCAGCCAAAGTCGCCAAAATGAAAGAGAGCTAAATATCATACTCACAACAATATTTGGATGCGAAAGATTCTTGAGAAGCTTCACTTCTTCCTCGAGCTCTCTGATGTGTGCCTATTATAAAATTTTAAGTAAAAACTTCTCTGTTAACCATGAGAATACTTGATCAAGAATAATTCTGGATTGAACTGGTTAAAAAGTTGTAGCTTTAGTTAGCTTTCCTATGTTTTGAGAAAAAACATAATAAAAACAATAATAAAGCAATATTGTAATAAGTGTCAGTGTGCATGACTTTTTAGTTTGAGGCATAATCCAAAAGCTTTTCCTAACAAACGTGAGTGGAAATCACTTTAAATTAGAAGTATGTTAGATGAAAAAGACTCAAATCAACTTTTTATAAGTTAGAATCCATAAATAAAAATTAGAAATTTTAACTTTCAATTAAATCAATTTTTTAACTCAATTTTGTAACTAATGTTTCATTTAAGCCATTCAAGCATATTTATGACTTTTCTACAAGACAAAAGTTAAAAAAAAACTTAAATCAATTTGCAAAATTCACGCCAAATAGAAATTCAACCATTGTAATTGTCAAGAAATTCAAAAAAATAAATTAACCATCTAAAATTACCAAAATACGCCAAAAGTAACCGAAAAAGAAACTAATTGTCCACGTAAAAGTAAAATTCAAATCCAGCCCTCACCTGCGTTTTCTCCTTAGAAGCACTACTGGCAGCAATCGAAACCTGCAAAAAATATAATGATTTATAATGATCGAGTAATTGTTAAAAAGCAAAGGAAAAAAATAGCAATTGAAGTCATTAACCTGTTTAACAGCGAGAAGCTCTCCAGAATCAAGATTCATCCCCATATACACCCTACCAAAAGCGCCGCATCCAATCAACTCACCCTTTCTCCATCTGATCGGCGGCGCATCTTCTTTTTTAGATGGCGGAGGCAAGGACGGTATTGAAGGCTTGGCGAAGAGGCCGATTCGCGATTTGCGAATGCTAGAGCCGATTTTCTCAACGAAACCACTGAATCCTCCATCTTCTCCGCCTCCTCCTGAAGTCGATTTAAACACTAAGGATCGACGAACCGATCCAAAAATGTCTTGCATTTCGTGGATCTTTAATTTCTAGGGTTTTTGCCTTTTCGGTGATTTTTAGACTCGAGTGTTTTAGTTTATGTTCGAGAGAGACAGAGTGAGAGAGAGAGAGAGAGAGGTAGCCGTTAGAGGCGTGTGAGGTGGTTCATTTTTTCGGGGAAGTGAAAATTTGAAGGGAGGGAAAAGCAGGGTGAGAGATCTATTTTCAAAAAAATAAAAATAAAGAATAAACAAATGCAAGGCAGATTAAATGATTGGTTAGTTTCTTTTAAGGGCCTTGTGCCTTGTTTGTACTGGATTATCTGGGTCGGTAGCAGTACAATTTTGGTTTTTTTTTATTTATGGAAAAGCCACATATTTGTTGTGTTATTTTACATATATACTGATTTTGTGTTGTCTTATTTGTTATTGGTAAATGACATCACTTTGTTATCAATTTTTTGGATGGATCAGATTGTATGTTGATAAGAATAAGTTCTTTTTTGTTTGTTTTTTAATGTTTTTGTATTTGTATTTATATTTGTGGTGAAACAAATATGATAAAGATAAGATGTTTCGTAACAAATTAAATTATATTTTGTATTATGAGATCCATTAAAAAATTAAATTTAAAACGTAATTTTTATGCAGTATTTTTTATGTTGTTTTTAACTAAGTTTTGTAAAAAAAAAATGGAATTTTAAAAGTATTTTTAAAAAATTAATTTTTTTTATTTGTTTTTTGTTTTAAATTAATATATTTTTTATTTTTTCAGATTATTTTAATGTGTTGATATCAAAAATAATTCTTAAAAAATAAAAATAAAAAGTTATTTTAATGCATTTTCGAGTAAAAAACATTTTAAAAAACAATCGTGACTACACTTTTATAAATCATTTTATGCATGTTTTTTTATTATACATAAATTTTAATTATAAATTTCACCATGCATATATTTAAATTTAACTAATCATAACTAACTGTAATTTTTTAAAATTATAATTATAAAAACAACCTTAAAAACTAATATACTCTAAATAGTTTTAAAAATATGATTTTATATTAGTTTGATATATTTAAGAGAATATAATAAATCTTTTATATGTTTGCTATAAAATTTAAATTTAGAAAGTTGGGTGATGAAGTTTTTTTATATGTGATTTTAAGATAACACCACGGTAAAATAATGTTCATGTCATATATAGAATAATTTTTTTATAAAAGAAAATTATTTTTTTAAAATAACAATATTTTGAATGATTACCGGGACAATGACGTTCATTAATTTAAATAACTTAAGAGGCAGAATAAGCTACACTTGCTTCTGCATATTCAAGTTTTCAATTTTTCTGCAATGACAAAAAAAATCTAAGAAAAAATAGGCATTGTACTTGGAACAATACTCTCGTCCGTTTTTTGATCCCTTGTGCTCGTATATTGTTCTTTATTTCTCTACGTTAAAATAATGTTTCATGATTTATATAAATTTTTTTTATTTGTCTTGCGAGGAATTGTGCTTGATGTTTTTAAAAGCATACCCTTGATGATAAGAAAAAAAAATTAAAATACATGTTGGTGATATTTTGTTTTTTTATATATTTTTAAAGAAAATATTAACAAAATAACATAGTTTTAAAAAATAATAAAATAATATAATTTATACATATTACAATTAAAAAAATATAATATTTAAGTTTGTTGTTGCGCAAAATCATAATATTTAAAAAACAAATTTGAATTGGTTCATATTATATGAGAGAGGATAAAGATAAAAAATAATTTTATAAGTACATCAAAACTCTAACTAGATAATACAGGTATTTTAAAGAAAATCTTGACAAAATAAATTTAGTGACATCAATAACAATTATTAACAGTTACCCAAGTGTATTATTTTTATTGTTTCAAAGTGGTAAGGGGCTCATTTATTAAAATATAATTAAAATAATTAAATAAACTAATTTATTATAAATTTAACAATTAATTAATTTTTATTTAAATATTAAATATAATATTTAGTAACATGTCATTATCCCTTAAATATCATGAATTTTACAGGAGGTTCAACTTAATCTTTTAAAGATTAGTTTCTCAATATAATTATTATAATTTCATCATTAATGTTTTGATTTAAATATTATAACGACATGTTTTTTTTTCAACACCATAATTCATTAATTTTTAAATATTATTTAAAAATCTCATTCTACTTGGCACAAAGATTTACAATAAATACTATTTAAAAATATAAGAAATATTTTTTATCATTCACATGGGATAATAAATTTTCTTTTGATTACTTGAATAGCTCATGTAGCTTATACTACATCCAATTTATTCGCTTGTTGTCATTTATTAGGATAGCGTGTCACAAGATCAAAGCATAAAATCATCTATATAATATAACTTAGTGATTTCAAGTTCAATGATTAATTACATGTATATACCGTGAGCTATTTCATTGACATAAATAATCTATCCATGTAAAATTCTTATATTATCCAGCAAACACATTAGTTACATGTATTTCTAATAACTAAACCTATAAAAAAAACCACTTCAATTCATAAATGAAATAGCGATCTTTTTACATATAATTTTTATATTATCCAATAATCATCTATATATTAACTATAAATATCCACATGTTTTTTTTTCAACACCATAATCCATTAAATTTTTAAATATTATTTAAAATTATTTAAAAATCTCATTCTACTTGGCACAAAGATTTACAATAAATACTATTTAAAAATATAAGAAATATTTTTTATCATTCACATGGGATAATAAATTTTCGTTTGATTATTTAAATAGCTCATGTAGTTTATACTATATCCAATTTATTCGCTTGTTGTCATTTCTTAGAATAGTGTCACAAGATCAAAATATAAAATTATCTATATAATATAACTTAGTGATTTCAAGTTCAATGATTAATTACACATATATACCGTGAGCTATTTCATTGACATAAATGATCTATTCATGTAAAATTTTTATATTATCTAGCAAACACATATATATTAGTTACATGTATTCCTAATAACTAAGCCTATAAAAAAAAACATTTCAATTCATAAATGAAATAACATAATATGTACTAGTGTCAACAATTTCAGTGGAATTCTCATGTCACATGTGATCTTTCTACACATAATTTTTATATTATCCGATAATCATCTATATATTAACTATAAATATTTTTTTATATTTAAGTTTATGTTAACAACTACTTTATTTTATAAAGAAAATAATATAATATGTATTGGTATCAATAATTATAATTAATATCCAATTTTAATAGAAAATTAATTAGAAATATTTAGAAATAATATTTTGTTGTAATAAAAATATTTTAACTATAGTAATTTTATAATTTTTTTTGTAAAATATATATATTTTTTAGATTTATTAATCAAATATTTAATAAATATTAAAAGTACATAGATTTATATAAATAAAATCAATACTAAATATAACCAACAATAAACAATTGATACAAAACAAGCACGCTTTAAAATGCAAACGAGTGAATTTGTAAAATCCAAAGGGCTATGGAAAACCCTTTTAGAGGGTACTGGGGGTGACGCATTCTGGGCATATCACCTCTTCCGACAGTAAATCCATCAGTCCAGGTACTTGACTCTGCTTTTCAGTGTTAGCTTCTGCCTAGCATAAAAATTGTTGTTGGTCTTACCTTTTGATCATTGAGCTTATGCGCAGAGGGCCCGGCCTGTGGGATAGACTTGGGATTCGAAGGGAGGGATGAGGCGGGGGAATGGAGAATTTTGATTTTACCATCTGAGCTTTTGATTTTCCACCTCTGAGGTGGGAGATTTTGAGAGGTGGACTGTTGGGAATTTCGACCGGTGATGTTCTGATACTTGCTCATAGGAGGGCCAAGCACACTGACACAATATTTAACGTGGTTCGGCAAAACCGCCTACATCCACGGGAGAAGTCAATATATTTAGAGATAGAGAAAGAATACAAAACAAATACATGGAGGAGGAGGATTACACCCTCTCATACTCAACTCTCAACTCTCTTTGCTGCACTTGCAGCTGCTGCAATGGCAGCAAGGCTGCTGCCATTGCAGCTCTCTCTTCCTCTCTACTCTCTTCACATTTTCATAATTCTCTTCACTCATTTTGCTCTCTTGCATATGCCTCTATTTATAGGCATTCATGGAGGCTTTTCTTCAACAAAGGTGGCTGCCAACTCCAACTCTTCTTCAACAATGGTGGCTGCCAACCTTTGACATCTTGGATGAGTGCACATGGTTGGTGCAATAGTCAATGGTTGTTGCACATTAATGGCAACCAACCTAACAATCACCCCCTTTGCCATTCATGTGGGGCAACTGTCCTCATTCTTCTTCAACACAAGCTTGCATCTTGCAGCTCTTCCAAGCTTTCCATTTTGAGAGCTTTTGTAGCCAAGTTTACAGGTACTTGCCAAACCTTTCAATCATCAGAGTGACCTAAGCACACCTTTTCTCACACAAAAGGATCACTATAACCAGATGGTCTGCCACATCACATCTGAATAGTGTTAACGCTTGTCTCTGGAACAACATTCCCCTTCGAGCGTATCAACCACGCTCAGTCCGGAATGATTCCTCAAGCCTCACATCAAGGCTTACAACACCCCCTCAAACGGATATTTCAAGTGCGACAGTCATTATCTGAGTATCTCAATATGATCACAAGCTCACCACTCTTCCAAGAGTCTACTCATCCAGGAGTTGCGCCTGCCCTCTATTCCACCCTAGGAACCACGCCTTACTTCTCCATGAGTCTCTCGCTCTTAGTCTCAAGAGTCCAGGTAGCTTTCCACCTTTAACCATGGGGGCAACCCATAAAAAGTTGATCCATATCTGTCTTCATACTCTGAGTATTACAATGCCATTACCGAGCTCACCACCTTGACAAGAGTCAACTTGTTCCCGGAACCTGCGCATGCCCTCTGCTCCTTCATAGCAGCCACGTCTTAATGCTCCACAAGTCATCCACTTATTGTCCAAGGCAAATGTCTTCTAGCTCATTGATCTTTAGCATGGGGGCAATATCCATGAAAGTCAATCCTGCATTTGTCTTCATACTCATCATAGCCCTTTTATTGGCTATCCATCTATCCACTCATACCTAGCCATCACATTGGCTCTGGGGCGTTCTGAACTGGGCTCCTTCCACGGCCCTCACAC